GTGGATGCTGTTTATCTCTATGTGTCTGTTAATGGCTGCCTTGTCTGAATACCAAGCTTCCAAGAATTCTCTTGCATTTTTGAATTTAGCCTGGTCTAAAATGCTGACAATTTTCCAGTTAAAACTATGGTTAGGTCTGTCCATGTGTTGTGAGATTAAGGAGTTTTCATCATGAGAATGTATTTTGGCTTACTGTTTTTTTGTTGTTGTTGTTTTTGAGTGAAAAGTGTTCTTCAATCAAGTGTTCTTGATAAAAACCCAAAATAATAAATGAATAGTTGATGTTGATGCGTTTATAAGGTTTGCTTTTCTCTTCTGAGACCAGAATTCTTCAATTTAAAATTAAAGTACTGCAAACTACAACATTTCCTCTAAGAAAAATTAATGACTTATATTAGTTTGTACAGAAACAGTGCATTACTGAAGTTCTTTTTGCCAATAAAGCAAACAAAACAACCAGTTAACATACAGGTTCAAATTGCTGTAAAGTGCTTGAATGATGGCAACGTGATTAACATAAAATAAGACTTCCAACATATAAAATCATGCTACCCTTTCACAACCTGAAATCTTGCAAACTGAATATCAAACATTTATTCATATGAAACCTTATTTCAGCAATTCCGTTCATGAAATGCTCTCCTTAAATCAATAAGGCACTGGCTTGTTTGGGATGTAATGCAAAGAGATTGTTTAGTATTATGGAAAAAAATACTCCTTCAATTCCATATTACCCCAGCTTGGCTATAAAGAAATTGGAAGTATCCATTCCCTGAAACTCATTATGTTTGAACCAGGTGCTCTGGTGCTGTTCAAATGTATTAGAACAATGATGAACAGACAGTGCTTTCAGTCATCACACATAATGCTTGTGGCATGTTTGTGTCATCCTGGAAACAAGCTGGCATGTCTTTGCAGTATGCAGATGTTAGTGGTATCCAATTAAAAAGTAAGATGACTGGAGCAACAAGTGTTTGCACTTCAGCTGATGACAGTAGTGAAGATGTTTATGATCAAATGAAGGAAGCGCTTACCAAAGTTGCTGACGATGGAAGCAACTATCTATGAGAAAGACAATCAATCAAAAAAGCAAGAGAACCAGAAACAAAAGACTCTGTATTGCTGGAACCGATAAAGAGCTTTCTGAGAAGACTCTAAGTCTGAGCCTTCAAGAGAAGAAGATATACTGTGGAACAAATGATAGGAGAGTAGATTTTTGAAATTGGATTTAAGTTAGAGGATGGTGAATTCCATTGAATTGGGGTGGGATACTTCTTCCTTAATGTCAGAGAAGTCTGTTAAGTGAACCAAGTACACAGTGAGGTAGTGGGCTGTCCTTTGCTGGATGTATTCAAGCAAAGGCTAAACAGTCATTTGTCAAGGGTGCTTTCATTTAGAATCCTGCAAGGGTCTGGATTCAATTGGAAGTGTGTGTGTGTGCCTAATTCTCCCTTGGGGAGATCTTCTTAAATTCTGTGTTTAAATTCATAGATTTGACTTTGTTCTAAAGTACAGTTGCCAAGCATAGTTAATCACTGCCACATATTAGAAAAGGTTATTTTTACAGTACATTTATTGTGATTTTGCCAGCAAAAAATAAGTCCAATTCTTATAGAAATTGGGGGGAAAAAAACCCATACTTGTAAATCCTTCTAAATTAAAGCAGTGATGATGCAACCAGCTTGTACTGTATTTTGATTCACAATTTCAGTTAGTATATACATTACCTTTTTCCATGCTTTCCAATCAAGGCAATTACTGAATCATTGGTAATCTGGCATCCATTAGCAGAAAAACACTGTAAACTAAAGGAACAGTAGCAATTACTTTAAATTTTTCATATAATTCATATGCAGTTTTAGTTGATTTGCGCCTGCTTCTTGTACTACAGATGTTGTCTTTCTGATGTGTAGGAAAGACTGAGGAGCAAATACACACATCTATCTATGCACAAAAATGCTTTTCCTGTCAATCCTCTTAACTCTCTTTAGTTACTTTTATATAAGTATTTTCTTGTATAAAATACCAGATTTTCTTACAATGAGAATGTTTTGATTAGGAAAATATAATATAAGATGTGGTCTTAAATATAGGCACCTGTACTGATTTCATTTATTTTTTAAAGTAAATGAAACAATATGAATACTGACTTAGGACATTGCAGCTACATTAAAAAATCATGCTAAATCATAATGTGGCTTGTTTTCACCTTAGCACATTTAGGGCACCCCTTCATTATTATTTCATATTATTTGTGAATCAAACCAACATAACTTTTTTCAAAATACATGAATTCAGCCAGCTTTAACTTTCTTTCTTTTATTTATTTATTTTTTAATTTCCTTTTCTCTTTAATTTTTTTTTTATTTCCTATAAAATTAACCAAGCAGGTATGTCTATTTAGAAGTCAGCCTCACGTTGTTCAACAGGCTTCCTCTGAAGTAAGTACCAAAAGGAGCACAGCTTAAATTCCATAATTTGATATTGAGCATTAATGAAATACAAGCAGATATCTTTTGCTGGATTAACTGTAATTTTTGCTGAACCTATTAACACTACAGACTAGACATCTTCCATTTTTTATCCTATTATTCCCTCATCTCAGATAATGAGTACCAATAGAGAGGTGTCCAAAATTGGACATTGAAGGGGAAAAAAGGAGGCTTGTATCAGCAGACATTATTATGTTTGTTTGTTTATTAAATTTATATGCCACCCAACTCCCAATGACTCTGAGTGGTTACAAATAAATACATTACAAACAATTTTAAAATATGATAGACCAAACTGAAGAATAAAGATAGCAAGGATGACAAAAAAACTGACAGGAACAAAAAGAAGCAAACACACACAATCCAAAAGGGGCTTCACTCATCCTCGCAAAAGGCCTGGGAAAAGAGCCAGGTCTTCAAGGCCCTTCAAAACATCAGCTAGGTGGGAGCTGTCCAGAACTCAGGGGAACCTCATTCCAGAGGGCAGGCACTGCTACAGAGAAGGCACATTTGCAAGGTTCCAATAAATGGTATTGTTTAACTAGAGGAACCTGGAGCGTGCCAATCCTGCCAGACTGAATTGGCCAGGCAGATACTGTGGGAGACAAGCAGTCCCTCAAGTAACCGTGCCCTATGTCATGTAGGCTTTTATAGGTAATAACCTTCACCTTGAAGCAAACTGGCAGAGATGTTACATGGGCATATCAAGGTATGCCCATCAATGCCTGCACTACTGAATTCTGGACCAGCTGAAGCTTCCTGGTGGTCTTCAAAGGCAGCCTCATGCAGAGAACATTGCAGTAGTCAAGTCATGAGGTAACCAGGGCTTGAGTGAGTAGAATCATCAAAGAGAACCCCCAGATTAATAGAAATACAAGAGAGAGAGAGAGAGAGAAAGAGAGAGAGAGAGAGGGAGACATCAACAATGAATTGCTCATAAATTATTAAAGTCTTACGGAGAGGAGAACAGAACAATATAGTGAATGAAACTGAAGTATCTTGGCAGAAAGCAGGACAGGGCATTCCAAACTGCAACTTTTGTTGCAGGTGTCACACTCCTGTGTAATCTCTGATGTGATTAGTCTAACTGGCCTCTCCCATTGTTTTGCAAATGGATGTACAAAATGGTGATATAAGTATTTGTGGCATAGGGGTTTTCAGGGGGTTTTTTTTTTCATACCTTCTAGAAGCTTCTACTAGGGCAATGAGTCCTAAATCAGTAGCTCCTGTCCAACTTATATCTACAACTGCCAAGTTATGGCAAAAGGTGCTTGCATTAAGTAGAACTCTGTCCCCTTTAAATCCAGAACCACTGCAGTTTTTTATATTCAGTTCCTAAATACAAAACAGGAAAGAAAGGAAATTGCAATGAGTTGACTGAAACAATTACTTTTATTAACGTTTCTGATACATCAATCACCTGTTTTATTACAGCAATGCCTCGTTTCAGTTGTAAAGCAAAAAAGGTGCTTGGAAGTTGGGACCTGTCAGCAGTTCCTTAAAGCAGCTGCTCTTCTTTTCCTGGGATCTCACAACTACAATGTGATCCTGGGAAAAATGTGTTTTGTTTAAGAAATTCCTGATAGTTGCTTCGTGCAAACCCCTGTATTCTCCAAAGCATCCCTTGAATCTAAAACAATACCCAATCCTACTTTTTATGTTTACAACAGGATGGTTAGAAGAAAAAATAAAGTTTATTACAGTAAACTTCCCTTCAAATTAAATTCTAGACAAAGTTTTTGTAACAATCAAATCAAAGGATTGAAGGTTCATAAAGATTATCCAGATTCCATTACTATAGCTTAAACTTCACACTCAGGTCTGTGCCTCATGGCAACTATTTAATTCTACATGGTTTATGAGAGACAAAAGAAAGAAAAAGAAGGGGGAAAAAGTACAAGTAGTCCCCAGTTCAAGAACAAGTTCCATTCCCAAGATCTGTCCTTAAGTCAAATGTATATGTAAGCCGGAACAGTATTATTGTATAATACTGTATAAGTAGTATTGCGTAATGAATTTGAACTACTGTGTATTTAACTCAAATCTTTGTATATTTAACTCAAATC